CAGAGATGAGAAGGAAAAAGTTATAAAAAAAAAAAGAAACTAACCAGAGGAAGGCCTGCTGCTATAATAAATTATTTAAAGCAAGCAGGGTGAGTGGGTTGTGAAAACAATATAAAACAGAATCAATGCCCCCAAGAAACCCCAAACCATCAGCACCTCTATAAATTTCTTACCACCCCGTCCTGCAGGTATTCTTTCCCACCACTCTCCCCATCCTTTCCCACCCCTGACCCTTCACTTTTTGCCCGTTCATTTCTCAGAGCTTCACATTTGTTTTTCTTCTGGAACATAGGATGCTGTCTCCAGTTGTATTCCTCAGCTTGTATCAGAAGAGTGTCTGTAAGGCCACACGAGTGTTTCTGTCACTTCGTTCATCTGGATCTTAAATTTCTGACAGAAACTGTAAGCTGGGAGTATCTAATATGATACACTTATCAACATGACTTTGATATTATCCTCCTTTTTTCTTTTTTTCTAACCATTGTTATAATTAAGTTCAAAAACCTAAAGCAAAATTTCTATAGTTTCTGACTGTTCTAGATTAGAGGATATTATTAGATCCAAAATACTAAAGTGGAAGACAGGTGCTTGGAGGAGAAATAGTCAAAATGACTAAAACTTATGTATTAGGAGATGTTAAAAGGGCAGACTGACTTGAGAAGTGAATTTTTTAAGTAGATTTCACCATGGAAAAGGGTAAGGAAAGCAGGGTCAAAAAGTCGAAAAGAATTTGCCAAATTCTGTTCACCAAAGAATTTTACCAGAAGTATGTCATGGTCAGAAGGAAAAAGAAGTTAACAATTGTTGCTTAGAAGCTTGCAGTGGCCTATGTCCCAGTTTCAAGAACAGTAGGATTCTACTGTAGTTTGTTAACTAGGCACAAATTGGTCCCATTGTATAATCAAAGGTTTAAAAACCTTTGGCTTTTAAAATTTTCTTGGTCCCTCCAAACATGCAGAAGTTGGGCAGATGAAATATAAGCAACTCAATTTTACCAGTGTAAAAACATTATTAACAGTATAATATGACTCAATAGGCAAATAGCACAGGTTTAAAATATTAGTCCAGAGAATTCTATATGTAGGCTTTGCTGCTATTGTGCTCTGTGACCTTTAGCAAATTATTTGCCATTCTGGGTCAAGGCTGGCTGGTTAAGGTCAGAGTCACTGAACCAATTATCATATAGGGTGCTTAACTTTATAAAGAAAACTGCTCCATGGTCATATTCAGTATGAAAAAAGAAATTTGAAGAATGATGTTTAAAAAATGTAGATGATACGAATAAGCATAACCCTATCATTCACCATGATGCTAAATAAAAACAATTCAAAATGCAAGGCCAACTTCTCAGTTATTGGTGTCATCTTTGAATGTGAAAGACAGGATCTAAATATTATTCTCCTTTTGTGACTGCTGTTTGTTCATCTGTAACAACATGGGAAAAAAATCATTGTACTCAAAGGATTATTAAGATACGCGACCTATAAACATGTCTGCCAAGTTGTTCCTTAAAACAGCAGTTGTTCTGTAAAAGCCCCAGTTGCCTGGAACAATCCAAGTTCAGTGTCCCAGCCTATGTCCTTTTGTCATCAGGGAAGGAAATATTTCAGGTACTTCTGACCTCTGAGAAGTCATTTGGTTTTTCAGGTACTTGAATGGTAGAAATAGGGATACAACAGCATCTGATAGATATGTTCTCTTTTAAATTTTATCTAGGAGTCTTAAGTGGAGAATTACACCAGTCTGAACTGGGAGAACCATATCAAAGTGTCAGTATCAAACTAAAAATCAACTAATTGGCAATAATTAATAAGTCAAAATTCACACTGATTTGAAAGGAGAGGTCGTAATCAATTTTCATCCCATCTCTCCATGATGCTGAGAAAGTCTACCCAGTTAACTGGATGGCTTAAAATACTGCTAAGATGACTTTCAGAAAATGAGACTCCCTGGGCCTTTGAGTGGGTGGTGTGGGATACTTTTCTGACCAAGAAGCAGATCAGCTACAGCCTTCCTTCCAAAGAGATCCTTGATCTCAGATAAATTGTACTAGCCCCTGCTAAGGTGTTGGTCCCAAAGCCTGGAATGACTTTAAAGAGTTAAAGTTGGCTCCAAGACTGGGATTCTTTTACCCTCCAGGGAGAAATTCCCAAGAATGTTATTGGGACTGGCAGCCACCCCAGAACACCCCAGGAACCCACTATACCTGGAGTAGGGAATGGAGATGGAGAGTGGTCTTAAATAACATTGCTTCCCCTGAAAAACTTCCTAACAACTGAGTCTAATCTGGAACAGGGATATCTGAGGATTCCAAAACACTTCTGAACACAGGACAAAAGGAGCCGTTGTTGAGGACAGGGAGTTAAAGCGTCACCTATAAATTTCAGAAGGCTCGTAAATGCCACCTGGAAATTTCAAAACAATTATTTTTTAAATAAACTCACAGCTTATATGTTGTTCTTATATATCATAACCACCATTCCAGTGTTTCTCAAAATATGGTAAGGGGATCACTGGCATCATAATCACTTGGGGGTGCTTGTTAAAAAAGCAGATTCTTAAGTCCCACCCCAGATTCCTGAATCTAATCCCAGAGACCGGAGTCCAGCCTACAAACTGAATTTCTAAGGAGCAGCCCAGTTGATTCATCATGGTAATGATCCATATAAAGGCAGAATTATGGTGTCTTTGTAGTCTGTTACATATTTAAAGATACAGATTTGGGATTTGCATATTTTCCATAAAATGTTTCAAGTATCATAAAAATGAAAATGATAATTGTAATGAGTTCCTAAGAACCATTCTTCTGCCCACAAATAATGAACACCATTATTAAAATGTAATTATGAGCTTAAAATTATTGAGAAAAATATCAACTATGTTTCTCAAAAATATTGTCTTTATTTGTCACCAAAAGTAATTATGCTATTAAAGGAATTTATAGCTTTTTTAAGTATCAGTCACTTGGCTGCAGGAACTTATTAAGCTGTTATGTTCCTCCTATATGCCCTTTTAGTCATCAGAATTTTTGTGATAAAGATTTTTTATTATTTTTTACAACTATGAATTGTGAACCATTGCAACTAAGGATTAGGCTGAATATGAATTCATATCCAAGTTATAAATTCTTTAAAAATGTTTCATCAGAATTACTAAGGCAGTCAACTCTAGTAGATTAAATAGCTTCTGCAGTAAAGCTCTATTTCTATTAAGGATTTTTTTTTTTTGGTGCAAAACAATTCAGCTTTAATGCATTCTTTAAAGAAGCAAAAGAAAACAGTTTCTGATATACATGCTACTGCAAAGCAGTAAACCAGTGTTGTATGGTAATGTGACAAGCACCATATTTATTTTCTAGAGGAATTTGTTTTTTCTCTTATAAACTCCCCACCCCAAACCATGACTATCATTACTCCACAAAATGTAGTCGGCCATTTCTGAAGGGTCAAACACTCCTCTTCTTGTCACCAAAGTCACAAGTTCAGACTGAATATTAAATGAAAATAGAACTTAAGAGGCAGGCTTTGTTTGTAGCATGTTGTTTTTAGTAAGGGTTGCCCCCTACCCACACTCCACCCTAGTTCTCTGACTAAAGTGTACATGTTATGTTTTAACAGATGGGCTGGCTGGCGGCTGCTGGGCTGTAAAACAGGAACTCCAAATCTGCACCGAGTGGTATTGAATTGAATGCTCGTAAAGTTCATGGACATACACTGACCCAGACAGACCAGACAGATCCAGACATGCTTACACACTTATCATAAACTCCCAGATGAGAGGGTCTTTCTCTCCATCCAGGGGAAGTTCAAGGCTGAGTTTTCCCCTCCATATATTTCTACCTCATTCATGTATCAATTTTATACATACACACACATACTAATGCATGAATATACATGGACGAATATATCTCAACGCTTTTACATATTTTCAAAGATCAAAAAAGTCCCAAATTCTATATGCAAGTCTGTCTAGTACTCTCAATTAGCTCTCCTTCAAGTCAAATAAAAAGTACAAGAAAATGCTGTGTTGAATTTCATTTAATCCACCTATATATAATATAAACTACATGTATGTAACTGCCCTCAGAAAAACCAGCTGCTTTTACCCCTTATCATTAAAGAGAAGAAAAGAAAAGAAAAAAAAACTATCCCAGACTGAGTCACAAATGAAGTGTCATGATTAACCTTGAATCCTCTGTTGTCAGTTCCTGTCACAACTTCATCACTTAAACACGCAGGTGCTCAAACACCAACCAGCTGGTCTGGTGGTCCCTTTTACGGTCTGGTCTTAGATTCTCCGGGGCCCCGGGATCTGGGACAGGCAGCAGCTACCCCCTCGTCCTAACGAAGTCCTTCGGACACACCTTGTAAGTGATGTGGAAGTCCGAGCACCTCATGAGGGATATGGATTCAAGTGCTAATAAAAAGTAATTACTTTACAAAGTTTAATATACGTGCTGTCAATTCCTTTCAGTAACCGCAAAGAACTGAAGCCCCAGCTACAGAACCCGGTGGTCGCTTCAGCTTTCTGGCCGACCGCCAAGGAGCCACCCCGAACACGACGATCTCTGGCTCCAGCTACGGATCAGACACGGGCCGCGGGCTCCCGCCTCACCGCCTCCCGCTCGGGTTCATTTCTCAGGAACCCGTCCGCAAGCCATCTAGGGCTGCTGGCCGTACACCCCGCGCGCGCAGGCGGCCCCCGCGCGTGTCGCCGCCGCAGAGGGCCAGGGGCGCGTCCCCGCGCCCCACCTAATGATGGCAATTACTGCACGCCAAGTTCGTGCGGATGCAGAGCCGCGTCCCGGGCCGGGTTGCGACGCTTTGAAACAAGAAGTTCGGAAGTGGGGATACTGGCAAGGAGCAAATCCCGCCCAGCCCCGATCTCCCCACAGCGGCGACGCTCGGACCGACTGACCGACGCTCACCGGGACGCGTTCAGTGCCCCCGACTCGGCGAACAGCGCCGGAGGAGCAGCTCGCCTCGCGAGCTGCCACTCACCCTCCTCGCTGAGTCGCGATCGCAAACCGGCGCCCCTGCTTCGGGTCCTGAATTTCAAGTTGCCCCGAATTGGATCGCCTCAGCGGACGGGGCACCTAGGCTCCGCAGGCACCTCAGAGAGGACACGACAAGCCCGGCGGGCGCCCCGGCTCAGCAGCCGCCCGGAACGCCGTGACAATTCATGGACCTGCTCAGCGAATGAGGCGGACCGCCGGGCTGAGCAGACAGAGCTCAGGAGGAAGGCGGGTCCCGGAGGCGGGCGGGGCGGAGCCAGCCCCGGGACGGCCCTGCGGGGACGGGGCGCCCCTCAACCCGTGACTGGCGGGACCTTCAGCCAATCGCTGTGTCTCAGGGGCCCCGGGAGGCCGCGGGCAGGGTCGAGAGCCTGGCCCCGCCTCCCGCCGCCGTCCAATCGCCTGCGGCTGAGGGCTGGCGAGGACACGCGCGGCTGGCGGGGAAGTTGTCTGTGGTGAGGAGCGGTGGCTGAGGGCTGGAGTTGTGGGGGCGGCTGCGGCGGGACCCGGGCTCCTCGGGAAGGAAGTGGCGGCCCCGCTCCTGGCTGAGAGAGACGTGGGGCCGCCCAGAGCCTCCAGAGTTGCCGCCTGTTTGCTGTCTGTGAAGCGAACAGCCCAACCGCAACGCGGCAGACACCGGGTCTGCAACTTCCACACCTGGCGCCCGCAGGAGGCCCGGCATCTGGCCGCTCCAAGGAGCCGCAGCAGTTGGAGGAAACCGAGACCCACGCTGGGTCCCAGGCGGACACCCAGTCACCAGTGGACGCCCAGGCCCGAAAGTGGGAGCCTCGGGCTCTCTGGAAAAGGCTCTGATTGCGGTCTGGTGGTTTATCTCCGAAACAAAACTCCGAAAGTTCCTTACACGCCCCCTCCTCACCCCTGCTCACCACACCGCCGGCAGGGGGGACCCTCCCCGGCGCTTAGGCCCCCTCTGGACCCAAAGCGCCCCGGGCACTTGCGCAGAGCCTGGGGCGACAGGGAGGGTCCCACGCTCGACGTGGCTGGCCCCCGCGAGGACCTCCCTCCAGTCGGGCCGCCCAGCAGGGTGGCATCCGCAGCGGCTGCTGCTCCTGCTGCCGCTCCTTGGGTCCGCAGACGGGCCAGACAGGGACGCCACAGAGCGAGCCCCATAGCCCACTCTGCACACTGCTATCTCTTTGCCTTCGAAAGTCCCTGGACCGAGCTCAGAGACCTCTGCAGTGGCCGACATGGGAGAACCTGAACTTGCTGGGCCAGTCGTGGAGGGGTAGCCCCCAAAGACTTTGTGGGCTCTGGCCGGCCGGTTCTCTGCTGCCTGTTTGGTTGACGAATGAGGCCTAAAGCTGGTTTGCAAGCCCTTACCTTGGCTACAGCACACAGTCATACGGAGCTCTGGGTATAAAGAGGCAAAAAAGCAAAAAAGCTGGGTGTTGCTTTCCAGGCTGACGCCATGAAAAATGTTAGCAAGACCTACACTGTAACCTACACTGTATGCATGGTGGCCTTTGTGTGCCTGGAACTGCTCATAGGTAGGCACCCAACCCATGTTAGTAAAATGAAGGTACGCATGGCAAGAAAGGGGTAAGGCTTCCTGGTGCCCTGACACTCCTCTTCACCACTGAGCTTTGTCCCCTCAGTTCCTAGAAGTCACAAAAGTGTTAGTCTCTCAGTGTGGGTAACTATTTCAAGATACTGTGTGAGGGAGTATGCACCTCTACAGGTATTTCAGTGGTTGGGTGGCCCCCATGAGACCCTCCTTCATAACCTGCTTCCTATAAGCAGGTCTGATGAGGGTCTTTGGCAAGAAGGAAGGCCAAAGACCTGTGCCTGAAAAGGAGTGGAATGGCCCCTCCAGCAAGGAAGGCTACAGCACTGAGGTGTGTTCTGGCCTTTATTGAATTTCAGTTTGTGTCTCCTCAGCTCCCTGACTCAGTAGAGAATGGTCCACAGGGCAAAAGCAGGTTGTCCAAAAGACAACAAAATCTGCCTGGACAGTCCTTAGTGATGTAGAAATTACACATAATTTAAACTCTTCCTCATCTGTTGAATCAAAGAAATGGTAAAGGTGAGAGAGACCACATTCAGTTCCAGCGGTTGCTGAGCATGTTGCTGAATGGCCTGGAAGAATGGCCTTTGCCCACAAGGAATTAGATGTAGACCATTTGAGTGGAATATACATCATGTCTCTGCCCTGGTTGGGATTGGGTGGTAAGGAGAAAAATATATTCCTTGAATTTTTTCCTGGTTATAACTAGAAAAAAGGTTTGCCAACAGTGTTTATCATATTAACACCCTATGAAGGTTTTTCACAGATGCTAATGATTATTTTAAAAATCACCTTGATAATAGGAACCAAACACTGTCTTGATTGTAGTTATAGTATTTATGGTAGATGAAGAAAAAAGAAAATAGGAAGTTTCTTTTCATGAAATAAGTTACTCCTATGTTCCAATTTCTAAGGTTTTCTGTTTGTTTAATACAGACATGCCTGTCTGTGGGTTTGTGGGTGAGTAACTGGTTTTCATTTTCTCTTATAGAATGGATGACATGAAAGAGAACACATCTAGGCTATATTCATATTTCCATACCATCTTCTGTTGTAGTTGGTATTTGACAAGAGTTTATCACTCAGACACTGTTTTTATTCCTTTGGTTGCAGTTGACCTTTGTGGTCTCCTGATTTGGAGCCATCGCCATATTCTGTAAGGGCAAATGAGATCTGTTATTTGTCCAAGAACTCTTTATAGCTCTATCTGCATGAAACAAACAGAAAACCTTGGAAATCTAGATGTGGAACTCACTTGTTTAGTTCTAGCCTATTTCATCAAAGGAAATTTCCCTCAAAGGGGTAAGAAGTTTGTGGAATGGTTTAGGAATAAGAAGATGGAGGTGAGACATGGAAGCAGGACAGGTCCGTTTGTGGATGGTGAGCAAATTTGCCTTCAGGCACTGTTATCCATCTCTGACACTGAAACAATAATTTGGAACCTTCCGAATTTCTATAGGGTGTGACTCATTGGATCACTGGTTCTAATCTGAGATGTGAGTGCTCCTGGCAATCACTTAACCTCTGTTTACCCTTGCTTCTTAGGCCATAAAACAGCAGTGGCAGAATTGGCCCCCTGTGTTTAGCTGCTTAAGGGGTATGCCGTGGCAGTGGTTACAAAGCACTGCAAATGCATGGCTTTTATAGTTGGTACTGATGCTGAAAAGAACAAAATGATGTTGAAATGGGAAAATAGTGAGGTCTGAACACTCTTTACATTTGCAATTTGTATTCATTTTAATCTCACTGGATTACTGTCCTTTCATTCTGTAAATAGAAATGAGGGAAAAGGGCCCCCACAAACCTTATTCTTATTTATCAAATGTTCTGGAAGCTGTACTTTATAAGTGAACAGTTTTTTTTCCCCCTCTTTCTGTTTCCACCGCCTCTCTTGAGATGTTCACTTTGAAACTATTCAGAATTTGAACAGATTGAGTTGTAGACCTTAGTAAAGAAATGCAATCAGAAACAGCAGATTCTAATACCGGTTCATTCTAGGAGCTTGGGCAAGCCATTAACCTTCTCAATACCTTAGTTTCCCATCTGAAACACTACAGTGATGCTTCTGCTTAATTTCACACAGATAAGAGAGATAACTAATAAGGCACTTTGAAATATTAATTGCTGTATAGATTACAAAATAACACATAGGTGATTTTGCAAACTAGTATGGTGTTGGTTTGTATATCATAACTAGGAGATATTTTTGTAACAGAGAGATTACTCTGGTACAATATCTGCAGCCAGGGTGATAACACCCACCAAACAATGGTATCTCATTGCATTTGAATGACAATGCAAGTATCCCTATGAGAGTTATATTGCCACAGATCCAACTAAGTAAAAATGTGATAACAGAAATGGGTGGGGAAGGGAAGCCTATATTCCATAAAAATATAGGATTTACTCATACATGCCCCAGAAGAAAAATTACATTGAACTTCTTAAAAAATGGATACCACTATGTGAGGACAAGTCTGATGAAAGACTAGAATGATCTTCAAAAAATGGTCTCATATAAAACTAGAAAAATTGGTCAGAAGTCTGCCAGAAGAGATAAAAAAATATTCTAAATTTTAAAACTTGATAACAAAATGAATAATGCAGAGGGATTAGACAGACATTTGGAAAGGAAGAATTGTGTGCTCAGGGAGGAAAAAGGGACTCCCAAACTAAGTAAAAAATAGGAACAAACAGTAGGATGTTGTAAGAAACAGGACAAAGAATATGGGCTCTGGAAACACTCTAGACAGGGCTGGATTTTATTTTCACTGCTTCCTAACTTTGAGATCTTGGACAAATTGCTTAGTTTCTCTGTGTTAAATGGGGTGGGGCATGAAAGGTGATTATTAGGTTTTTCTCATTGGCTTGTTAGGAATCTCTAGTGAGATATTCTGTGTAACTCTAGCATAGGACCAGGTTCATAGTGGGCCCTCTGCCAATCATAACAATACCTAGTATTTATCAAGCACTTGTTGTGTGCACTGTGCCAAGTCCTTTCATCTCCTGACTCCCTGGATCTTCATGACCTCCCTGTGATGTCACTGCCATCTCTTCTTCCTCAGCGTTTCTATGTGGAAGGACTATTCTAAGAATAATATCCTGCCATGCACTAAAAGTCAAAAGCCACTTTTTATAGGTACTGGAATATTCCAAAAATTTTATTTTTCTGTAGGCAACTTCTTTCTTGAACACATCAAAAAAGAAAATGGCATTTGTAAATTAGCACTGCCTTGTTTTCCTGTGAAAAGGGCTAACCAGCCTTTCCTGGTACTAGGAAATCAAGCTGCATTGAGCACTTGGTATCACATATATTGTAATAAAGCAGATGAGGGATTTAGAGTTTGGGAACCAAAAGGGCCATAGAAAACAAGGAGTGTTTCAAAATCAAAACCACTTTTGGCATCTCAGACTATAAGCTCCTAAAGGCTTTGGGCTTCTGAACAATGTGTTTATCATCTAGATTTTGGGTTTAATGGAAGTTAGTTCCCTTGAGGCAGCAATATGGGAATGATAACTGGCCAGTCAAAAAAGGGAAAAAATTGATTATCCCTTAGAAATGAATTGTATCATTAGTTATTATGAATACCCCAAATTATGACAGATTCATGTTTAAGTATGCCAGGTAAGAGTAGCCGTGAGCTATAATACACAAAATAGTTTATTACCCAAGAGAATTTAGGTGCTAATGTGGA